TCCGAAAGTTGAAAGACTTGGGACTTGCACATTTTTTTAGATCAAGTTATTTCCAGCAATTTGTCCAGCATTATCATGACCTTATCAACTTTGTCGCAAAAATTTACTTAACAATTAGAATGCACCATGAAGAACATAAAAAAGCAAAGTTGATAAATATGTACTCCGCTTTCACGCGAAGGTTGTGCTTTTTAAACACCAATAATAAATATATTACATTTAAACAAATATTTCATTATTGCTTTCTAATTTCCCATAAGAGCTCTAGCCAACTGTTCTTATTTTCAGTGAATTTTATAATATATAAAATATTTTTTTAATTTTTTTTTCTAATTTCCCTTGAACACTTTGTATACCTAAAATAAATAAGTAAATAAATTGTTCATTACATTCATTAGTTCATCATAAAATGTATATTATATAATATTTTGCTCCAACAATTTCGAACACACGGACTTTCATTTGACGTTTAAGCGATCGAGTTTGACATATCTCGGCCGCGAAATTACCCTCATATGCCATCATACCATAGAACATCTTTTGACGCTTTTGTACTTGAGAAATGTATGGGGAGTCCATGAATTGTATAAGGTCCCTAGACAATATACTAATATAGACGTTTCTCTCTCGCGGTATTTGCGTTCAGAGAGCTAGGGAAAGTCACAAACGCCAGGTTGGGTGATGGCGCTTTAATCGCATGTCGCTCGGCAGCCTCGTCCTCCTAAATGCATTCAAATTAAAGCGCCAAGATTAGAAATAAAAGAAAATTGTCAATTTTAAAAATAATTTATTTATATTTAAATTTTGCATTACAATAGTCTTATATTGACATTGTTATACAATAACGAAACATGCCAAACAATAATACATATATTAAAATAGATATCAAAGTAAATAGCAATATGTTGCAACAAACATATTTATTTAAATAAATCAAGAAAAATATAAAGTTTAACGAATTACAGGATTCCTGTCTTCAAGTGGATAGTCATTCATTATTCATTACCAATAATGTCGTGAACACAAAACATGGTGTGTAAATCATAGTGTCCGTGCATTACGGTACTAACTAATAATCATTCCAAGTAAGATTTGCCACTTTTCAGCACATGCTTTGCGATAAATCCAGTCATGCTAAATGTCTCTTGACATTATCTTGAATATTCAAAAAACTGCTGCATTGAATTAACTTATTTTATCAACTTGCACTGCAATTGGATTTCGTTCATTAACTCAGTGGCGTTCTTAAAAAATGTAAAGTCTAGTCTATTTATGCTTTTCCATATATATTTAAGAGCCTTCAAAGTTTAATACAATTCTGAAAGAAGAGCCTTGCCTTTCTTATAAAAGAACCCCATCTTGCTCCCAAAATGTATAGTGATTAAATTTTTATTATATGCACTGCTTTATATCCTCTTCATTTAAGAGTTATAGATTTTGTTTGAATCACAAATAAAACCTTATAAACAATTATAAAACACTTGAAAACACAAAATTCACAATAAGAATCAAAACAATATGGACGTCTCATTTACGATAACCTATGAAAGTTTTCATGTTTTGACATTTCTTGTCTTATTGCTCGTGGATTACTAACCTGTCAAACTTGACATCGGCTCACTAGCGCCAAATTTGCGCCTAGCGTTTGTGACTGGTACTACGCGTTGTGAACGCGGATTTTGTACTGAGATAATAGGGCCTGATAAGGTGTATGATGCTTACACATGAAGTTCGCCACTATTACCAACTTTACAAACAGTGTCAAAAAAATAACTCAGTTCGGTATGAAGAACACTTCATGCTTGTTTTATTTTTCATATAGGTTATATTTTACCAACGTGTTCCGCATTATTTCTTTAGTGATCGAAGTGTAATTGTTTGTTTTTAATCCGAGAATAAAATGAGTAAACTTAAAAATTTTTCTGAAGCATCTAAGAGAAGGGTACAACAAATTTTAAATAGAAAAGTTGATAATTTTCAAAAGTTTGTGAATGGAAACGCGATTCAGTACAATACTTATGCTTTTTCATAAACTATTGGTACAAGCTTGAAAAACTTTTGTTGCAATTGTTTTGTTGAAAATGAATTATTAAAGCATTATGGAATAAAATAAAACAAGAAAATTTACGAAAAACATAACCTGAAAAATGGTAACTATCGTTATAATAAAAATATAATAGTAAATTATATTTAATTTAAATAATATTGTATCTTGTGTTTTCCTTTGGTAGAGTTTTGCATGGCAATCCATCACATAAAAGTATAACTCGTTTTTCAGAAAATCCAGAAAATGGTGAGCGATTGGCTTTTTTTTTATCAATTTATAAATACACTTACATGTGCCACTATTTGAGCTTACACTTACGGATACTCTCGGATATTAAATAGTTTAGTTGTATTTGCTACTATTTGAACATTCATAATTTTATTTGTTTATGAGTTTCTTGTTGAACAAAAATTATTCTTAAAGATCTGCGCATCATTTCAAGTACAAAAAACTATTCAAATTATGTATTGTATTGTTGATGTAAAGTGTCGGTAGTTTTTTTTTAAATTGTGTTTTTTTAAATTAAATATGTGTCGTCTTTGAATATATAAAATTTGTTCAAATGAATAGGGTTTGGATAGAAATTTTAATTGCTGAATGCTAACAAAACAAATGGGAAAATATTAAATAACAGGTGAAAAATAAGATTATGGTGATAGTAGTGTTATAAATGAAATAATATGATAATAATGAAAAATTACGTTAATGAAACAAAATATAATGGACTATTGAATTAAAGTAAAAACGCTGTTATTAAAGCAGTTAAGAAAAGGATTTATAGATATAATTATCTTACTTTATCAACAATAGATCGTGAAAGTGGATTAATACTAATAACGACTGATAATATCATGATATCAAATTGCTATTTTATGAAGAACAAATAAGTATTATTGGAAGTGAAACAATTTGAATGTTTAGTCATATTATTTCAATGCGAAACAAAGTCTTATTGTGATATAAAGCAAATGATGCATAGTTTTGCTTCTACATGAAATAACATGAGTCTAAAACATGTCATGAAAAAAGTCAAACTTGGCTCAGACAAATATGTACATAATATGAGAAGTTCGTGATAATATACGATATTTGTACAATTTTCAACAATCTATGTATATAGTAATTATGAGTCAAATATCAAATGAGATGGGATCAGAACATTAATCTTGGAATTTTTAAAATTTTGGACTATTCGTTTAGAATACCCAGATTCAGATGCGATAATGCCCAGAGGAAATGGATTTTTAATGAACATTGTGATACCACCAATTCTAATAATTGGATTGATACGCCAGACTGACGATTGTCTTGAAACATCTGCTTTGTAGGAAATTTTGCGAAGCTTTCAATCTAATCAAAGACCTTCAAATTTATCTTACTGATTGTGAAAATAGTTTTTGACCAAATAGAAAGAGCATGGGCATTAGAGATTATCGATTTTCATATAATTACAAAACGTGTTAAATGAAATGGTAGTCTTAGTTTAGTCCAAGACTTTTATATCGGTGACAATCACAATCAAAGACAAACGAAGATATTTTAATACTTAACAGAAATAACTCGGTCGTGAATATTGATTTGCTAAGTTATAATGGCAAAATCGTGGAATCTTCATTTGACTTACCTGATTTCTGGGGCAAGTTATTTCCGATCTTCGACAAATTATTTATTGGTTTAACATATATCACTAAATTTGTGAAATCATATGAATGGAGACATGAGATGCAGAATGGATATTATAAAAATAAAAAGTGAAGCTGCAGCTTCACTGATCGATTTTACTCATAAATAAAATCGATCTCGTACTCATTCAGCAAAGAAAATGAGTTTACCTATACCAGATAAGTGTTTTTTTTTAATTTTAATTTCAAAGAAAGTTCTCGGATTACAGTTATAGCAGAAAATGACACTATGATATATATATATATATATATATATATATATATATATATATATATATATATTATTTTCTACTTTATTAAATATTTAAACTCACACATAAACTGCTATCATCTTGCCTTAAGGCTGAATTAAGGCACAAATCCTCAATTTCAAATTCATCATTCATTCAAATGTGTCCATTGATAATTATTTCTTGAATACAAGAACACCTGAACTCTGGGACAAGTTATTTCCAATCTTCGACAAATTATTTATTGGTTTAGCATTTATCACTAAATTTGTGAAGTCATATGATGGAAATGGAGGCATGAGATGCAGCATGGATATTATAAAAATAAAAAGTGAAGCTGAATAAAATCGTTCTCGTACTCATTTCACGATATTTGAAACCGATATTAACAATTTGTATTCACAATTGCAAATGTTGAGAAAATTTTGGAGGATAATGAATTACTATTTACCCAAGCAATAAAATACATTTAAGTAATTTTTAATATTCAACAGACAACACATCATGAAATGCGTAAAATGTAATAGTATTGTCTTTGTTTTTGACCAATATTTCTAATTGGAAAACAACAGACACTCAAAAGCATATCAACAATACATACAAATTACATCGATGTGGTAATTTGAATGTAAAATTATATAAATCAATTTAATAATATAATTACAATCATCATATATAATAATATAAGAGCACATATTATATCTTTGGTATATATATATATATATAGGTAAAACAAAGTATTTTGTCTTATAATTATACATTCACTGTTTCTACTTACCACTATATTTCATATACACATATATTGCGCGACATAAGATTTATTTTTGAGCATACAAGATGCTGCACATTTTGTTCGCAATAATAGGTTCCTATTTTTATATTATTATATGTATTAAAAACAAAAATACTTTATCGATATTTTCTGGTTCTTTATACATTCCATTTTTTGTAATATTTTAATATAAGATTTTTTTTTTTTTATGTTGTTGTTTGTGCCATGGAAACTCTAGTGGACTACTTTATTTTTAATATCTGAACGATTTATAAATACCACTTTACCAGCAACTTCAATACATCGGCTCGTTTCATACAAGCCATAGCATTGAGTACCATATTATTTAGATCCATATCTTTTACTTCCATCAATTCCCAAGATAAATATGTGCCGTAGGAAAGTAGGCAGTATATCGATCCCTAAAATATATTTTGATAGGAGTATGAATTAGTGAAATTAGTTATGTTTAATCTTTGGTCTAATTGACATACCTCGATAGGAAGATTTCTTTCAAAGACACCATTCCTAAACACTTTAAATTCTTCTAAAAAATCATCCCATATATCTAAATAATTTATGTTATGTAAATAGTGGAAAATGTATATTTTCTTCAGAGAATTTACAATCCGAGGAAAATCCTCTTTCTTAGCATATTTTGGATCCATTTGCTAGAAAGAAAAATTATTTCTGATCAAGAGATGAATTGTTTGACAACTTTCTACACATGACAAAAATGTAATTCGTACCCCATCCATAATACTTTGCCATAAAAGATATGGCTCCATATATACAAATGCGCATTCGTCGACAATGGTCGATATGGCGGCATCGCAATCTGCAACAATGCTTGCCCTCTTATAAAGGCAATGCAAAGTCTTGCTGCAGTTGTCTAACACTATTGTGTCGGTACACTCCTGGGCGATGTTTTGCAGAGCGCCCAATAAATTCCTTAAATGCTGTAAACATAAAACACTAGTTTAAAACTAGTAAGTATATATTAAAAAGTTAGAAAAACTACAAATGCAAGATGCATCAACATTCCCATATGCAATTAAAATTTCTGGTTAAAATATAATATACTCCTGCTGGTGGCAATTCAAGCACAAAGACAAGTAATCCTTATAAGTATTCATAGGTACAAAAATTAAAATACTAACCAGATCTTCCATCTCACTTGTATTTTCGAGGTCAAAATATTGAGGTATTCTGATTAAATGAATAATACAATTCACATTGGTTTTGAAGCGAGCCAACAGAATTGCTATAACAGGCATTAGATGTTTTGTGATATTTAATTTTTCTTCCTTCATTTGTTTTCTTTGTTTTAAACTTGGGACCTGTACATATGAAAACTAATGAAATTTAGAAATAAAAAATAATATTTAAACATATAATCAACACACTAGAAGAAGAAACAACTGGATAGTTTTACCCATTTGCATGTACTGACATTACAACCAGGGCAGGGTACTTTTACTTGATCGGTTTAGATTTAGTTAATGTTGTACTTCTAATTGGACTTATAAATTATTGCCTTAAACGTTTGACGACTATCATGCTATAATATCACATCAAGGAAACAGATGTGTAGTACTAAAAGCAACAAACTGATTCCCACAAAACTATTCCATTGGTCATGAGTTCATACACCGTCCAAAAATCCAAAAAAAATCAAATTGTCTGGAGACCAAGAGCGTTTTGTTTATTTAATTGACCAGGAGAGCAGCTGCATATCAATTAAGTACAGTCCTATACTTGTAATTATCGACCATATTCGGATTCGTTGCGAATATTGCAACTTGAGATCATTTCTGGAAAATGCTTATCTGTCCGCCCTCTTAAAGTCCGTACATTAAAATAGGTCAAGTTACATCAGTTTTATATATGCATCATTGCAATGCAATATTACCATGTTATCAGTTGCTCTCTCCCCCGGATATTCACCAGTACTTGAAAGACTTGCACACCAGAACATAATTTCAATTAAAATTTCTTGAAGTTGGGGGATTGGGGTCGAAGGATCATCATTTTCTTGAGTTAAAATATGGATCATCGAATTCCAATCTTTCATTATCTCAATGTTTGCGACTAGGGCATCCACTAGATAAGAAATAAAATTTAGTCCCTGAAAAATAATAAAAATAAAGAATAAAGATTCAAAAAAATTATTTATACGACATCCACATGACTATCATATATACATATTTTACTTACTTTCAATACAATGATGGAAGTTGAAACATGCCTGAACCATCGAACCCCAAACCCGGCCCCATTTGAATCTTCATCCAATTTCAAAAAAACATTATGAAAAAACGTTCCTGCTGCCACTGCAACCTTTCGATTTGGAGAGAACATCAAACTTGAAACCGTATTCAAGTCTTTCCTGGTGAATAAGTACGGATAGGACCTGAATGGACAAAAATGGATAATTAATTAGCTATATCAGTCTTAACAGGTAATTACAGGACATTCGTAGAAGTCGGGTTAAGAAGTTGAAGTACACCTTTCGTAATGGGGAAATACTAAAATATAATAAGCGGCAGTCATTGCAATACCCCAGAAAGGGGCTTCAACCCATAGCGTCAACCATTATATATACACATTTATATAATAAAAAATTATAAATTTATATTTATAATAGCATTAAAAATATTTATAATATTTAAAAACAATAATGTAATTAAAGTCATACTTCAAATATGACATGATCGGTTTGTCATTGTAATTATCATTTAGAAATGAACCTTCATTAGAGAAATGAACCTTCATTAGAGAAATGAAGATTAATAAATTGCTGATTAATAACTTCTATAATATTTGTTGAGACAGTGGATTATGTCAAACAACGCCTAAACAAATATTGTTTTTGCAACTTCACTCTTCAATTAGAATTAACATACATTCATTTATTGCTTGTATCTTTTTACTTTATCGCTGGCAATACACTATTATTTTTTGAACAGCTGTAATATAAGATTGCTGCTACCGCTAGGTGTTTACTGGGTTATCACCATCAAAAGTTTCATGCATATGTCTATTAAGTGAACATTTTTATTCTCAACTCTCACCCGAACATAGCCGTGACAAGCTGTATTGCAATCTCTTGATTGCATCGGCTCTTATCCCAAGTTAAACTTACAAGTCTCCTTTGATATCTATGCGTAAATATTTTCAGTTTGCTTGTTAGCTCATGCTCTTCATATAATGGTATCAATACTTTCAATGATTCTGCTCGAACTGAAGCAGCCTGTGAAGATATGGAAAAAATCATTATTAGTAACTGCCTGAGGAGATTTTTATGTTCTATTGACATTTCAAGATCGGCCTTTTCAAGAATCCTGAAGAAAGAAGGAAACTGGATTGAACCCGTTCTGTTCTAAAGAGTGCCTCCTGCACGACGTCGTGGATGGTAAAATAGAAGGGCTGAAGGGATTGGTAAAGAGAAAATACAGGGTACTGAAAACCGAAGTGCAGGATCAGGAAGCATGGATGAAAGACTACCATTTATATTATATATATATATATATATATATATATATATATATACCTTGTCATAGACAAAAATGCAATGAGTCGCAAAGTCCACTCATTTAAGAATAGTCCCGGGTGTTTTCTTATCAAGCGGCCCAATTCACGTATGCTCACCCTTCTGGTGACAGGTGCGATATCTCTGTAAATAAACTGATGTTTAAAAAATATTTTTTAACTTATGCGGTTCAAGGAAGTAGAATATCAAAAATTGGAAGACGTTAATCATTTCAAATATTTAGGAAGCATTCTGACCAGAAACGAATACAGCACGAGAAAGATCAGGACAAAGATCGCAAGCGCCAAGGTGGAGTTTGCGAAGTTGAGAACACTACTGAGAACCAACCAAGTCTCGACTTGTGGATGATATTGCTAAAAAAAATGTTATGTCTAGAGCATAGCTCTTTACGGATCAGGGACATGGACTCTAAGAAAAAGAACTATTTGGAGAGTTTTAAAATGTGGTGCGCAGGAGACAGGTGAATGGAGAAAATAAAGTGGACTGACAAGATAACAAAAGAATAAGTCCATAAAAGACTTCACTGAGAACGATCATGAAAAGAATAGGAAACTGAATAGGACCCATTCAATTCAATCGAAAAGAGTGCCTCCTACACGACGTGGCCCAAGAATTCATAATCCTGAACATATGCTTATTTAAGACATGATATGTTAAAGCAGGAGTCTACAAACAAAACTTAGCTGTGTTATCTGAGAATTGGCCCATAAATGTCAAAATATCTTACTTCATGCGTTTATAAATTATATTCCTATATAGGGACTTGATACACAATTCTAGTTCCCTATACTTTTCATTTAATTTATTCCTTTCTGAGAGAAGGGATTTTAAGCGACTCAGATCACGCCTCGTCTCCTTCGCTTCTTCGGCCTGAATTAGCTTCGAGTACCGATTCATTTCTGAAGCTTGTTGAAGTAACCCTGCCAACTCTGTAGTTATGGACAAGCTGAATAGATATATAAAAAATCAGTAAATCAAATGGTAATTTTAAAATATGTTTTCAACTCTTTTGCCAATGTATTAATTTTTAATGTCTAGTGATGTTTAAATGTAACTTAAAAAATTTTAATATGTACAAAAATGTCTAGATATACATAAATAAATGTATATGTCACCTACTGGCAAGGGTTAAAAATGTACAAAAATTTAAAAAAAATATCTGCAAATGGCTACATATTTTTGAAATTGTCTAGAAATGTGTAAAATATATAGATATCTAAAAATATCTAAAAATCCATAGAAGAGTCTACGTATAAAAATCATTCTCACGAATACAATTTACCTGCCAATGTTGTCGTGTATCGTATATTTTTCTGACCCAATCTTGACAAATGTTTCAAGATTGAGGTCAGATTTTTTATAAAAAATCATCATAAATTATTTCTTTTCCACCCCTATTTATGACATTTTTGAAGAACTGACAAAACTCAATTTTAAAGCTTCTATGTTTTTTATTTTTTGAGAGGAGCGAAGGAAATTCTTCATCTTCCTACAAAAAAAAACAATAAAAATAATAGAAGTGATACTCTGCAAAAGAAGAAAAACTTCGTAATGTGAAAATGAGATTGCAATGCTTACTGGCAGACCTTCAAAGACTATGCAACACTTTCAAACAGTCTACAATGTTCTAATAAATATTCTACAAATTATAGAATAATCCATAACATTTGAAAAACATTTTACATTCTAAAAAAAATCTAAAACAAAATTTAACATTCCTAATCTATGGCATTCTAAAACAATCATTATTCAAACATTAGCTCACTTTGCATTCAACATTTAAAGCAACCTTGTTTAAAGTCGCCTAAGAAGTTTCACTCGATAGTACATTGTGATATATTGCATTATCTATTATACCTGACAAGTCAATCTGAATTGTTTGAGAACAAGTTTTGGAATAAGTATGTTTGTGAGCCATTTTTTGAGCTTTTGTCGATGTTTTGTCAATAAATGCTGAACCGATTTCAAAAATTTAAAAGCTTTTTGAAGTAGCACGACCAGGATTGATTAGTTCTTATAAAATTCTTAACTGGCCCAAGGAGAAACAGTATGAATGGAGGATCTGCTTTTTTCTATAGCAAAGAAAATGAGTTTACCTATATCAGACCAGTGTTTTTTTTTAAATTATAATTTAAAAGAAAGTTCTCGGATCACTGCTATAGCAGAAATTGACACTATGATATATATATATATATATATATATATATATATATATATATATATATTGAAATATGTGAGTTTGGTGTTGATATATATTTTGATGAGTTATTTAGAATCGGGCAGTAACACCAAGTAAAGAAAAAAAAAACTAAAGTAGTTTTTAAATACTTTATTTATCCATACGTTTCGGTCTTCATCGAGACCGTCACTCAGTGGAAAACTAAAAGATTTTCTATCATATAGGAGGCAATAATATAAAGTTATAACTTATATATAAGTACTTACAGAATTAATTATACAAAAATACACTACACTATTACACTGTGATAACCAGGCTATTAATAATTGGAACATTTAAACTAATTAATTTTTTAGACAATTTTTGCTTACATTCTAGTGTGTACAAATTGACTAACGTCTAAATACTGAATGAATTGTGTTTACAATTTTTTTGAGAAAGTGTAAAAAAGACCGGCAGACATATGTTTTTTGTAAAATAATAAAATAATAAAAATACACGCTTCATTCAGATATGGTGGTGTTTTTGAAAATAGTCGAGAGTTATTTTATAGTCATTGCAAAGCGAATTGTTGTCAGTTCTTAAATTTATGGCTGTATCCTTGTGTAAAGATATTAAGCAACCTTCGCTAAATCGTCTTTTAAATAAATTATTTTCGAAATGTAGGATCGTGGGATTGGAAAAATCAATGCTATGTTTGAGTTCATTGATATGATCTGTTAATTGTGTTTTATACTGATTTTTATTTTTTGAATTGTTTTTGTGTTGAGATGTTCTTTTGTGCAGGTTCTGACTAGTTTCACCTATGTAAACGCAATTACAATCTAGACAATTAAGCTTATAAACTAGATTACTTAAGATTCTTGGGTTAAATTTTGATTTTAATTTTGTAAAAAGAGTTGAAAAAGTATTTTCGGAAGTACAAACTACTCTAATATTATTTTTATTGAAAAGTTTTCTCCACGGGTAATATAATTCTTTGATGAAAGGTAAACTTATAGTTCCGACGTAGTTTTCAAGGTTTGGGTTATTAATTAAATTATTGTGACGGTTTTGGAGATATAAGATTCTATTTTTTGTTATGGATTGGATGAGGTGTTGTGGGTAGGAGTTTTTTGGTTAGGATTTGTGAAATGAGAGAGAGATTTTTCTTAAAAATTTACTGTGTGATAATAATAATGCGTGGTCAATTAAGTTTATGATTGTGCCTATTTTGATAGAGAGGGGATATATACAGGGTGCGCCACCAAAATCCGGACAAATTCAACAAAAAGTTCATCACAAATTTTTGCCATGAATAAATTTATTTAAAGAAAAACCCTTTTACATAATGATTGATACATCTATGGAGATAATAATTATTCAATATATCCTCCATTAGCTGCTACAACGGCCTCTAATCTTGGTCGAAAACGTTCGCATGCTCTCTGGAGTGTGGCGCGGTCCATTTCGGCGAATGCTTCTTCAATAGCGACCATCAATGATGTCAAATTGGGATGACGAGACTTGTTAGTGATCCTTTCAATCACGCTCCACACGTAATAGTCCAAGGGGTTCAGGTCTGGACTGTTAGGGGGCCAGAATTCCTTAGACCAAAACATGTTCACGTTGTCCGAGAGCCAATTTTGGACCAAATGGCTCGTGTGGGCCGGTGCACCATCTTGCTGGAATACATACGGTCTTCCAGATGCAATATCTTCCATTTTTCTTAGAGACTGACCTGGATCCTCTGAGATAAGCGCTTGGGTTCTTTTTATGGCTTCTGAAGTTCGTGACGAACATTTTTTTGAGTGGGGCTTTCTTGCAGGTGTGTTAGAACACTCTCCATACTTGTCCTTATCAGTGTATTTGGACAAAACATCGTAGACAGTTGATTTTGGGTAACCAAAAAATCTAATTATCTTCGTCGCTGACCGTCCAGCGCGGTGGCCTTCGATGATTGCGGCTCTTCGAATAAACTCTGGGCTTGTTTCCGACATGGTGGCAATTTCTATACTGACATTATTAACTTTAGTCTACGAGGTATTCAGACACTGAAAGCGACATCTTTCAGAAGTATATTATTGCGGGAATATTAAATGGTTTTTTGTCCGGATTTTGGTGGCGCACCCTGTATATATATATATATATATTGTCTACTTTATTAATTTAAACCCACACATAAAATGCTATCACCATGCCTTAATGCTGAATGAAGGCGCACTTCATCAATTTCAAATTCATCAAAACCTTCAAACATGTCCATTGATAATTATTTCTTGAATACAAGAACACCTGAACTATGGGACAAGTTATTTCCAATCTTCCACAAATTATTTATTGGTTTAACATATATTGCTAAATTTGTGAAGTCATATGATGGAAATGGAGACATGAGATGCAGCATGGATATTATAAAAATAAAAAGTGAATCTGAATAAAATCGATCTCGTAGTCACTCCACGATATTTAAAACCGATATTAACAATTTGTATTTACAATTGCAAATATTAAGAAAAATTTGGAGGGTAATTAATTACTATTTACTCATGCAATAAAATACATT